CCTGTCCGTACCTTAATCTAATCTTTTATGGAACAAAAGTATGAAGATGTCTTTGTCTTTTCTCATTTATTGACAAACTTTAAATATGTCCAGAAAGAACTGGGACTGCAGTATCACTGTGCAAGCAGCTGAAATACCAGCACTTGGATTGACAAATCAAGCCTGCTCTCTTCTGTGTCTTGATTGAATATCACTTTTACAGGGTAGTGTTTTCCCAAAGAAGAATTTACAATCAGTAAATAACTTGAGACAAGGATAAGGTTTATCCTACAGAATAATGGTTCCTTGTCGGCAGTTGTGAAATTCCAGTTAAAAGTGTCTCACTCTTCACATTTTTAATGTCTCTGGCATCTAGAAAGCTCATTATATACAACCAAAGCAGTAAAAGAAATTGCATTTGGTTTTAGTAATGCTTTAAAGAGTCACTGGAAGACTTTACTTGTAATTCTTGAGTGTTCTTGCATGAAAATACTTCCAGTACAATTATGGTGAAGGCTCTCTCTCAAAAGAGTACCTTGTACCTGGTCTGTCTCTAATCTCTGAATGTAAGTCTTGATTGTAAAAGAAAGTTTAAAGCAAATGCTGCATCGGTATTATCAACATTGATACTCCTCACTACTCGGGAACCCAGTGCAGATGAAGACCCTGTTGTGCGGCAGGCTGTTCTAACACGTGGGATGATACAGTTTGTATCACAAAACGTTTGCAGTCTGACAGAGGGCTTCTCTCTGATTTAGCAGCTTTGTTATTGGCTGCTAAACAGGCCTCCTTGCTCAAGGTTACTACCCTGTGAGGGGAGGTAGACATATATTTTGTACAAGCTTCCCAGCCTCCACAGTTCACACTTGGGCATTGAGGTTTTTATTGATGCTGTTAAACCGAGTAAAACCTCTCAGCTAGATCCTGCCACGTACATCCTGTTACGACAATAAGTGATAGAGCAAGGGGGGTGTGGGGAAAAAAGAGGTTTTGGACATAATGCAGGTCATCCAGTCATACAGTTTTCTTATGTGTATATTACATGATTCAACAGTATTAAAGTTGCCAGAAATAGTATTGTATTTTGTTCAGTTACATATCTTTCCTCATTGCTTTCCCATATGTCACCAAAATAAAATTCTTGCCTGCTTTTGTACAAAAGGTTAGGGATAGAGCTTCACTTCAGCTTGATGATTTTTAATTTTTACAGAGTTCTTGTTGAGGTTTTTCCTCAAAAATGTCTCCTTTTTGCAATTAAATGCATTAACTTCCCTGTACTGTGCTTATTGTATCTTTAGCCTCTGCTCCAGAGATGTAATACCCTTCTGCAAAAGGTAGTCCAGTCCTCTAGCATAAGTGGATAATCTGGTATCAGATGGCAGGAAGACCAAAACATGTTGTTGCATCTCTGTTGAATGGCATGCTCCCAGACTAAGGCTGTCTGATTGCTCCAGGATCCCTGTGCTTCCTTTCTCCTAGTGTAGCAGTCCCAACAAGAGACAAAGAGGAAACTGCCTAAATCCATTTGAAAGGAGAAGCAAAAAGAATGAGTTGTGCTTTAAAAAACACTTTCCAGATTGCTAATCCCTCCCGTGTCTGCGGTTCTCCACTGCATCCATTAAGGAGCACAGGATTGATAGCTCATCATTAAATCTGTTCCTGACACTGGCAGCTTTACTGTATATATCCAGTTCAGACAGGTTCACAAACCCCTGTCCTGTGTGCCACCATCCACTGCAGGTCAAACAGCTTTTCATGAATTAATCTTGAGGCTTTTTGAAAAGGCAATGACTACGTATGCCACAGGATTGTAAATTACGGTTGGATTAAAATACCCACTATAGGTAGCCTTGTTACTGAGACGAAACTGTCAGGTAAACGCAAGCATGTTTTCCTAAGTTTTATCACAGATCTCTGTTTTGCCTTACAATAATGTATCCCTTTTAATTGAGTGTATTCAGATAAATGAATTACAACTCGCTTTGGTCTGTTCAACAGCTGTCCTTTTTCAATTAAACTCCCTCGTGAGAGTTTAAGGCCCATGAGATGTATATCAACAACAATATTACTAGTCAAGGCATGTTGTCATTTCTGTGTTTGCCTCTGTACTCTGTTTTGCTTGGAACAAAATTAGTAGACCAGGAACTGTCACTTCAGTAACACAAAGCATATTATCAATATTTCAGCAGCAATAGCTGATTAGAAATAGTAGTTCAGACAATACCAAGAATTAGTTGAAGAACTGTTTCCTTTATTCATTGGTGAAGCTTACTGTATGAGAAGTGCACTGTATTTCACGTTCTTCTGTTGTGGAAGAAGCATCCCTTTCTAGGCAGGATTCTCTACAGTGCAGAACAGTTCAGCTTCTATTGAAGTTGATAAAAGAGTGTTCAGAAGCATGTAGAAAGATCACAAGATCAGGCACGTCTGGGCCCTTGACGCCATTATTAAAACCCATTCATCACAGGGATTCTGGTTCTCCGAAGGAAGTTGTTAGGTACAAATAATTCAAGGGAAGCTCATCAAAGCCGTATCAAAGACTGAATATTAGTAATCTGGTCTTTATGGAAGCAAAGACGGTTTAATACACTCCAGAGGCAGAAATAGGTCTAAGGAAGAACATCAACTCCTAATGAAGTTACAGAATTAAAACGGAACAAAAGGAAATAGTGGCATAAAAAAAAAACCCAAGAGCTTGATATAGTGCTCTTCTGCCACACAATAAACTGTATATGAATACCACTGTTGATATTAATTCCCTGTGGTTGAAAGGTATGAAAACTTACAACAAGTAATAAAATAGCCAAATGTATTTGTTAAACTTTATGATGAGTGAGTGTAGAGCATTTCTAAATTGTGCCTCTTCTGAGGTGACTAAACCAGCCTATTCCTGTAGCATCTGCAATTGACAACAGGGAAATAAAAACAGAAATAAAATTTCCAGGAAAAAAAACTAATCAGTTTTTAGCTTCAGTAAAGATTTGATGAATTATCTCTTCCTCATCACAATTAAATCTTATCTTAGATTAAGGACTATATGGATTGTTTTCATCACCTGAGACAAATACGGATGTTACTTCACAGCCAGTATTGTCTACACTTTTGAAAACAAAACTCATGCTTATTTTTGTAGAACAGCTCAGTTCCTTCTTGTTAGGGGAGTCAGAACTGGCTGTAACTATTGTCTGCAGCATAAATGCTAACTTCACCCTGGAGGAATGGTGCTGCTGCTAGTACATAGCAGTAATTCCCTCCCTGGCTGATAGAAGAGCTGTTGAAGACTATTGTCTACCAAGATGAACAAAGATGCTGTTAGCACTACCTCTTCTGAACTTTGCAGCCTCCTTGGAGTCACTCTGTGATCTGCAGTTTGAGTTGTACTGTTCCAGAGAATGGGTATCTGCACACTGCTGCGTAAACAAATGACCCATATTTAGTTCCCTTTAGTTTTTGTCAATCTATATTGAAAGACATTTTCTGCTAAGAATTCAGTTTTGCTCTCAGCTGTTTGCTTACTACAAATGTTCACATATTTAAGAAAAATTTGAGACTGTTTAATGATCAAAAGTACTATAAGCTCTTTTTACTATTCTAGCAAGTATAGAAAGTCATATGAAAAGGTACTTAATACGTCTTCTAAACACTTCTGTTTGTATATGGCGTAATCTTTCTCCAGAGGTAACTAGCTGCGTGTATCCTGCAGAGGAAGGTTAAACTGCAAATCCAAACAATATGCTCCTGGAGTCATGTCTTTGGCTAAGCTGTATGCTGACAATTGTATTGGCATGGGGGGGAGCTTTTTTTAAAGTAGGGACACACCTGTACTTAATTTTCCAGAAAAAGCTGAGGTTTTATGTATTTCTTTGAAAAAGCATACTCATTCAGTCACGATTTAGAGATTTTATATATATGCATTCGTTAAAATAGATTAAAAAATCTTCATAGTTGATTATGCAGTGTTCAAAAAACTACATGCAAGCGGATGCAAAAATATATAAAATAATGCCTCAAAAATATATAAAATAATGCCTCAAAAATTCCATGTAACAACAATAAAAAAACTTATTGATGATGATATTAGATACAATTCTTGGCCAACAAAATTTGAAAATAAACAAAACCGCAAGAAATTATACTTGCAAAATTCTTGAATAAATGATTGCTACTTGCCATATAAAGCTTAAGGGTAAACTTTTTATTGTGGAGATTCAGTTGTTTTGTTCTGTTAACACTAATGACTTGTGTTGTTGAATGTGCCCCTTACAGCACTGCAGATTCATGAAAAAATACTCTAGTTCATGTATACTACATTTTAGAAACCTTTAGACTACCCAGATATTTGCCCACACATCTTCAGCCCGCTACATAATGATTTAGTTGGATGTTAGTATTGTGAGACAGTCTCCACTAAATCTTCTGTTGTTTCATGGCTTATGTAGTGCTTAACTAACATAAATTTAAGTGTTGCAATTTCTGCCTGAAAATGATTCTTCCTGGTATTTCTCATGTACTAGTTATAAGGTTGGTATAACCTGTAATTTACAGTGCACAAAAAACTCAGCCGCTCTCTTGTTTGGTGCAGGTATCAGGCAGTAAAGAGTAAGTACAGCTCAGTAGAGCAACTTGTATGTAAGCACATCTCGGTCACTGAGCAGATTGAACTGCCACAAACTTCTGAAAAACAGCTACTTAGGATGACTATATAGTGTCATGCTGATATGCCCCCTACTTCACACTGAAGTCCTAATTCTGCAGCTGTCCATGCTGTATACAGCTAATTGACACCCCCTGCCTCCATTCTGGAATAAACATGGTGACTTCCTATCCAGAGTTCTTTAGAAATGAGTACATACCAGATCAGTGCCTGATTCTAATTTCTAGTCTAGAAATTAAAGAATGGGGTAATAACAGAGAAACAACAACATAACACTACTGAAAATATAAGACACTGCTTTGCCTGAAGAGAGCTTCGATGTATGACATGCATGCTAATGCTTCCTTATCTTCTTTTGAAGGATCGTCGCTTTAATGACGAGATTGACAAACTGACTGGATACAAGACCAAGTCACTCTTGTGCATGCCCATAAGAAACAGTGATGGAGAGATTATTGGTGTTGCCCAAGCAATAAATAAGACTCCTGGAGGTGCCCCTTTTTCTGATGATGATGAAAAAGTAAGACTACCTTTACTTACGGGTTTTTTTTCTTAATTTATTTTGTAATGCAGTAAATTCTTTGAAAGATACTTAAGCCATAAAAGTAAATGGCATAGCTCATGTTAATGATGTTTTTTTAGAAGTGCTTAACATAAAATGTACATTTTTGTTGTTCTAAACATAAAACGTGTCTGCTCTGTAGACGTGGGAGGTCTTGTGGCTGAAACTTCAACTTAATGGTCTCTAAATCTTATGTAGGCTTTTTCATGTAGTAGATCTTAAAAGGAAGACTGTTTCAATTTTTGAAAACTTACCTATAAGAATAAGTTCATGGCAGAAAACTATCACAGAGACACTCCTAAGCTTGCTGACTTTAAAAATCGCCACCTTCTCTTAGTGCTTTCCATGGGATAAATGCCTGTAGGACGTAAAAAAAGAAACTGTGTTTTAGAGGAGATTATGCATATACAACTTCATGCTATTCTAAAATACAGGAGACTTGCAAATGCCCGTGAAAGGGCACAGAGGGCAGGAAGGGGACACGAGGTGTGTATTTGAAGCGAAATTTGGAGAGTAAAGTGAGCTCAAAAGGCAGGAGAATAGAAGGACCCACAAGGAGGTAACTTGAATTAAAGAAAGTGGGAACAATAGGAAATGGTGTTGTTGAAGGCAGATGTGTACAGTTGAGCATGGAGGGAAAATGTGTGTGAAGCCAAGAGATTACTGGGGGAGAGAATGCTGGAGTGCAGCAAGCTAGGGAGGAACAGAACAGCAGTGCTCTGGCCAGGAGAGAGAAATGGAGTTGCCTTTGAGCATGCAATAGGGAAATTACACTTCTGTGTATTAAAATAGTTTTGAATCTCATTTTTGTGGAAGTGTGGTTAGAGGCAGACTTTGCCCCTGAATGCTCTTTGTGTTGATTCAGAAGCAGTTAATATTTGATGCAGAGCCACGGTTGGTGTGTTATGTACGTGTTGACATGTTTGTGCTACAACAAAAAGAGATGTTAAGGAAGATGCCTGTTGGAAGGGGAAAATCCTGTCACATTGGTTCATCTAAATACATGGAGTTGATTTCTAGAATCAAGATATCTTGACATGAACAAAATGCATTATAAAGCTAAACTAACAGTGGTTTATAAAGGCTGTGAAATATTGAATAAATCAAACTTGTCTTCCATAGAAACCACAGTAATTAGAGTTTTGGCTACTCTTGAAGTTGCTATTACTATTACTTTTACTTGTTATATACTTACAGCAGTACATTTAGAGCACTGTGCATAACCATTTCATAGCTTGAAACAATTGTTTGGTGAACACAAGAATATGGATCTTTATATGAATAAGGTCTGTTAATAGAATCGTACTCTGGTTTGCTGTGCAGTGGGAGTAATTCAAAACTGATTGCCTTTTTGAAATTTCAGTATGTGAAGGAACCTTTTGCAGTCCAGGTAGGAAAATGTTTGCCAAGTGAGATATTAATAAGTGGGTGCATTAAAGTTGAGAGAGGTTAAAAATGAGTACTGATTATTTTTATACCTTGTAATGGTTATCGTATGTCTTCCAATAGAAAATAGTTATGAGGAAATATTTCTTTATATTTTTATTAGATTATTTAGCATAGCACAACTTTGCTATCAGGTGGAGGTCTTCCAGCAGTTATTCTTAGCAGCACCTACTTACAAGTGAAGAGCCAGCTTGCTTGCTGTGTACCACTGTTTGCTTTTGGTGCTTTTCCTAAATTTCTTTCAACATTATATACTGTTCTGATGTGCTCTTGAGCTGCTTGTTGACTTCTTGTTAAACTTCAAGATTCAGATTCTCATTAAGAACTAGCCATTTGGATCCAAGTGGAAAGATCAGGCGTGTTTGGATTATAATCTTTAAAATACATTCAACAAATAAATGGAGTGTTTATTCAACAAATAAAGTGGAGAATAAATTGGGCTAACAGTAAGAAAGCTTATGGTTTGACAATACAGATGGCTCAGCTCCCCAGTTATACATAGTACTGTAGAGTGAGCTTTTAAAAAATTTTATGAATGCCAACTGACTGTGGTTACTCTTCACACCACACTATGAGTAATTTTATAAAACAGAAAAATTCATTACAAGAACAATACTCATTGCAGTGTGGATATATATCTGGCATCATCTCTTGGTTAGATGTTTTCTTCTCAATGTGCTGAGTAACAAGAAAGTCACAGTCTTATCTCTGGCCGTATCACCTATTTTAGCACCACATTAAAGACAATTTTCCTGTGCAAAGCTTAAAAACTTTTTTTTCCATAAAAATCATTAGCTTTTAATTTTTTTCTGCAAGGTGTCTGTGTAATTTATTTTAAAAGTTATTTAATTCAAACTGTATCACTATGCAGAATCACTCTCGGTTTTGAGATCCTGCTTTTTCAGACATCTAAAGTGACCCGATATTTCTTAAATTGTTCCTTTAAGTTATCTAAACTTGTGTGACTACTAGTTTGCTTCTGAATTACTTTTGATTCTTGAAAATCTTGGATGTTGAATATTGGTTTATTAGCATACAATACAAATCTGGCAGTGTGTGCTACAATGGGTAGCCAAATGCAAATTAAACAAAATGAGACCTTCTCTGAACAGGCTTTTTTCGGCAGTTCTTTTTCTTAGTACTCTCTGTGTCAAGGGAATTTTGTTTAAAATGCAGCCTTTATAATGAATACTACACTTGATTATCATACATTCAACTAGCAAAACAACTGTGTATATATGTGAATTTTGTATTACATAAAGATACTAATGTAAATATTTGATGCCAGTATTGAGTCTGTGGCATTTGCTTCCATTCAGTGACTGCTAAATATCTAAAATCAGCAAGTTGCCCGTACTTTAATTGCCATCTTTATATTATTTTTACTAGTCGTTTGTATCACTGCTATAATTATAAGTCTGGGTGTTAGAGCTCTTCAAGAATATATTCAATGGGTTCTCACGTGTAGAGTTTATGGAAAAATAAATGAGAACATAAGCATTATCTTGCCCTGTAATAGACCTTAAATTTAATGAGGCCTGGCAGTCCGTGTGCTATTATTTCCAAATTTTGCTTTTAAGTTTTTTCACTCACTGATAACCTAGAAAGCATGATATACCTCTGGGAAGCAAGAGACCACATGCTTCCAGGAGAACATCTTGCAGGATTAGCAAACAGTTTTAAATTGTAATACCAGCAAAAGTGGTTGTGAGGAAAAAGGTGCAAGTGAAAACAGGGAAATCCTTTTCAAAATAAGTAAAGAACTACCTAGGTATTGAGGTGGTTTGTGCAGAAAAGCTTGATGAGTAGCTGGAAAAAGACATAAATTCAACTTTATGTTGATGTTAGAATTTCTGACAATTAGCAGCTTCAGACTGGTTAGAAAATGGAAATTACTCCTCCTCTTCCTCCTCCTGACCCCTCCAAGCCTTCTCAAAGAAATGTCGGTATCGCTTAAGTCTGACTCTTGTTTGCAAGTAGCTATCCTCTCTTAGCACTGTGCAAAGCAATTAAAATAATGCTGTTGGGTTTTTTTTACAAAGCTACAAGACTATATTGTATAATGAAATGTCACTTGGGGGCACTACTGTCTTGAGTCAATAGGAAACAAAGAATTATGTTTTCAATTAGAATTAAGTAGATGCTAGCATCTTTTTTATGTACTCTTAGTTATTTTCAGGAAGTGAAGAGCAAATAAAATATTTAAGATTTGAGGAGTTTTTAATGCTCCCAAGCTGTAACCAAGTTTATATTTTGCAATATGTAAAATGGAGTATTAGATTTCAAAGATTTTCTAGTTTTGTTTTTCATGGCAGATTTTCAGGTTTTTCTTTTACATCTCTGGCCATGGCGTTAATAACAGCACTAATAACGAGTCTAAGTGATGTAATGATTGTTTCCCACTGCCAAATTTCTTTTCTCCTTTTGGTGTAAGGGATGTTTCAGCCAATTCATTGTTGTAAATGCAGAATTAGACTTGACAGCCACTGGCACGAGAGAAAACGTTCTGTCACACAATGTGTTTTGTCTCCCCAACATTAGTGGCTCAGCTGAAAAGACTGCTTTCAGAGATTTCCAGTGCGATACAAACAGTAATTGAATACCTTATTACTTTCATATAGCAACCCTCGCTATTACTTTATGTTGGGTAACTGTTAACTTTTTTTGAAAAATAGGCTGCTGATACACTTTTACATGCATTTTGCAAATGAAGACACCAGTTCATCTGCACAGACATAGAGTAGGAAAGTTAAAAAACTAAACCCTTGAAAAGATCTGTGCATCCTGCATGCTTTCCCAGTACTGTCCTGAAGATTCATGTAGGTATTTGTGCTGTTTGCTGGTGAGTCATATTTGTTCAAGGGCTGGTGAGAAACTTGGCCTGACAAGAGCTTGACAGTCTGTAGTTCAGATTATTGTGTGCCCTTTAGAGTCTTCTGAAATGCAGTGCCAAAACAAATCTAATGCTGCATCAGAAAGCCTTAACAAACAGCACCAGCAGCTCCACTGTCGCTTAAACTGACGTCCTGGTTCTCTCTGGCTCTGACGTATTCCTAGCCTGAACAAAGTGAATCGACTGCGGGGAAACTACCTGAGACAGCCAGCTTGAATTAAATCCTGCTTGGCTTACTGAAAAACAGCAGCTTGAATGCAGTGAGATCACTCCTAGGAGGGGAAAGAATGAACTGGATTTAGTTATCTCTGCTCTGTGGATAGTTTTATTAAGAAGTATGTATATCCTGGTTCAAGGATTCAGCTGGTGTATGTTTGGTTTGTGGGGGCTTGAAGATACTGTTCTATCATGCTTCAGCATTTCTATTTCTTACATTCCTAATAGCAGCCCTGTTATTCTAAATTGCCCAATTTAATGTTCTCTTCTTGGTCCATATTAGTTAAGGCTTGAATATGTTCTATACTGGGTCTATCATAGTGATGAATAATTTGCAGGGATTTTGCTATACCTGCTAATTTGTTTTCTATGAGTTTTTTTGCATGATGGACTTAGAGTAGCT